AATTAGCGATAGTAGTATTAACGGTTCACGTATCATTGGAGATCCCATAACCAACGAAGTCGTTAATACACAAACAATATGGTTCGGGAATAGATGATGTGGTTAATATAGAGCCATTAGTAATGGGGGTCAGAACTATTGATAGAAAACCCAATACTTTACAGAGTAACATCATCATTTGATTTTCCTCTGTTTTAACTCAATAACGTTTTTTTTTTTTTTTACACCTTTAAACAGTTTCACTGTTCAAGTACTTTTAGTAATTTGGACATTAAACTTAAATTCTCAGAATCACGAGCTCGCGGAATGAGAACATCCAGGCCGAGCAAGCGCGTTAGACAATTCTTTTACGGACGGATGTATTTAAAAACTGTGGACGAGCGACGCAAACACAACGGCGTGAACATTGTATGAAATATTCATATGCTATTTTCTCGATGAGTCACTCAATGAATGCGTTAATTGTGGGGAAAGTCACGAGCTCTTTGTAACAAACGGTTTTGTTGGTAAACTCAAGAATGATCACTAGAGAGTGACTTGATACCTGGAGGTTAGGTTAAAAACATTCCAAATTTTTGTGTTTCGTTTTACCTTGTTATAAAAGAAAACTGGTGTATAGCACGCGCCGATCGCGTGTCTTCTTGGATCAAGTCGCGCATCGTTTCCCGACTATCTCGTGGTATCTTTCTTTGTAATAACGCGTTCGCGTTTGTCAAAGTGAGAAAACGTGTGTTTTTAGATAACACTTCGACGTAGGCCTTCTATTTCCGGTTTAAATAGTTTTCTGAAGAAATATTCGATTGAGATCCCACCAGCTAAGGAAAAAAGAACATAATTGCGTTGATTGCGTCCCCTCTCCTACACACGATAATTATATATCTCTGCCTTCGATTTAAGACAAATGGTGAAGCCAACTTTGCGATACACCTGCCTGAGCGTAAATTTTGTTTGCGCGCGCCAACTCAGGCGGTGACAGGGAAAAATTAACCCCTGAGGGTATATCCGTTCAACAAACAAAACGTACTAATGATTACTGGAGAAAAGCCACCAAACTGACTGTATTGTGGTGAAATATTGCTGTCGATGGCTAAAGAAAACGTATTTCCGGTCATTAATGAGGCTGACTTCGAGCCACCTTGTCTTTCTATGATAATAGTGGTGTAATAAATATTAATTATTTTCGGTTTATGCTTGCATGTTAGGGGGTCTCTATTCTCTTGCTTTAGAGAAAGAAATTAGCACACAGGGGGTCTTTATATCACAGCAACGCTGAGGAACATAATTCTAAACGTGCAACGCACTCACTAAGTAACTGAAAAAGAAATCTATTTAACACTTTACATTAATGTTTTGTTTAGCAACGTGTCAATAGAGTTGATTTATAAGGCTGGCATCCGGATTTTACTAGTTAAGAGAGGTTCATTCCTTGATTACAATATCCTTTGAAGCAATGTCTATTGTGTTTGTTTGTTTGGAACGATCGTGACACAGCATTCACTAATCACCCTGGACTAAAGTGTTATAAAATATAAAGAATGGTAGACGTTACCCTACAGAGTGCTGTAAAACACTTAAATTAGGCTTTAAAAACAACAAATGGAGAAGAATGGTGGACGTTACCCTACAGAGCACTGTAAAACACTTAAAGTAGGCTTCAAAAAACAACAAATGGGTATTATCCGATAACGTTTTCATATATCAAAACACAGGAACGAGTAGACTTGTTTTCCAAACTACAGGAAAGATTTCATTTCTTCTGTAATTCACACTCAAACGAATTAATGCTTCATATATTATTCAAATATTTTCGTGAGAGTAACACCAAATACCCAGATTCTCAGTTTGCCCTTAAAGAAGAAAGGTCCAACTTTGGAAAGCGCTCGGGTTATAGGGTTTTGTACTTTTATCACTAATTTCTGGAACCTATGTAATTCCTAATATCAAGAAAGATTCAGGAACCAAAGCTATGAACAGATAAAAATACGCATTTCAGTATTTCTTTAAAAAAATTTTACAGTAAACTGAAGCAATGATGGTCATTTTGTTTAGAGATTGATTGTTGTTAAGCCTAACGACTACACATGACAAGTTCAAAAAATTATGCTGTGTTTCCCATTGTTTCATAAATTAGAAGTTTAATCATGTATTTAATATATATCCTACTAATTTTGTTACTATTTCTCCCTATTTGTAGAACATTTGAGATTATTCCCACTAAAATAAAAAATTCTTTCAAGTGTTGCTAAACTGTTCAATTTGACTTTGTATTTGCAGGGGTTTGTACAAATAACACTGCACCAAGTGTCAGTTCCATTAATCGGATCCTGAGAAACCGAGCAGCAGAACGAGCCGCTGTAGAGTTCGCCCGAGCCGCTGGTTACAGTATGTACCATCCATACACGGCTGCTTTTCCGTGGAGTCCGACGTCAACCCCTCATATGTGGCCGTCCTTCTCTGGAACACACCTCCCCCATGGAACAACCACAGATCCGGTAGCTTTAGCAATGATATCCCTGCAAGAACAACGGGCAGCGGGTTTGTAACAACTTTACACAGATTAGACCAGACAGTCAGAAATAATAGATGAAAATACGATAGGCAGAAGGAAGAATAGAAATACTTATAAATTATCTTGTAAATGAATAAAGATAGAATTACAGCAAACAGATATATTAAGCATGGATAATTAATAGTAGAGATATACCCGATATTAAACATGGAGAATTAATAGTAGAGATATCACTAGTGATATACCCAATATCAAACATGGAGAATTAATAGTAGAGATAGCACTAGTGATATACCCAATATCAAACATGGAGAATTAATAGTAGAGATAGCACTAGTGATATACCCGATATTAAACATGGAGAATTAGTAGTAGAGATAGCACTAGTGATATACCCAATATCAAACATGGAGAATTAATAGTAGAGATAGCACTAGTGATATACCCAATATTAAACATGGAGAATTAATAGTAGAGATATGCCCGATATTAAACATGGAGAATTAATAGTAGAGATGGCACTAGTGATATACCCGATATTAAACATGGAGAATTAATAGTAGAGATATCAGTAGTGATATACCCGATATTAAACATGGAGAATTAATAGTAGAGATAGCACAAGTGTTATACCCGATATTAAACATGGAGAATTAGTAGTAGAGATAGCACTAGTGATATACCCGATATTAAACATGGAGAATTAATAGTAGAAATATACCCGATATTAAACATGGATAATTAATAGTAGAGATATACCCGATATTAAACATGGATAATTAATAGTAGAGATATACCCGATATTAAACATGGAGAATTAATAG